TGAATTTATGTCCTTTTTCAGAGCCCAATGTCGTTGACACATACCTATATCTTCCTTCTTCAATGAGACTGCATTATTGACTCACAACGAGTAAATGACACTTTTAACACAAGTAAATCAGAATGCGGAAGCGTAAGAAATTTAATGAATAAGAACATCCGCCGAATGCCCACTGACCAATTTTTTCACTTTCATATACATTTACTCAGGCATACATACATATTAGGGCGGTCCTTAAAATATCAACATCTAAATTTCATATAGAGCACTCCTTTGTTTTGTTCTTTTAGCTGGCCAAAGTTTTATTTTGCGATTTTTAAACGAAAATTTAAATTTCTTCAAACCCTGGCAGCCCGCCCTAAAAATTATTTAAACATTTTGAAATTTTCGGGAATGTCTTTATTTTGTACATGGAAAAGAGAAAGGGGTTGCCGCATGATGTAAATATTTTAAGGACCACCCAAGCACATGTGTACGAGTAGTTTGTTTGACCAAAAGGTGGAATATACTTACTAGCTGAATAACTACTTATTTAGGTGTTTCGTTCCCATATATTTTTTGTACGGATGTACTATACAATTGTATAGTATATGTACAGTTCCATGTATGTATGTATGTGTATGTATTTAACAGCTTAGCGTTTTGCCCTGATTGCCAGCCTTTCGCTCCTGAACCAACCCTGTTAGCTACATTAAATTTTCTCTCTCTCTCGTAACTAATAACCGTTAGTTGCTCTCTGGTACATTGCGCAATAACACTGACCTATGAACTCTACATAGGTTTTAACCTCACTCACACAACTGTAACGCTTGCGTCACTAAGCGACACCTAATGTCAATTTAACAGCGGCGATTTAGGCCTTTATATCATTTGGAAATGCCGTCTTCTCTGTTTGTCTTTCACGTAATAAAAAGAGAACTGGTATGCATATACTACCTCTTGAGATTCTTGGGTTGTAGTGTAAGTAATTACGTAGTGAAATGGTTGTAATTACAAGCCCATTAGTTGTGACGACATAAGCGGGTGGTTGGCTATGCACTACTAGTTACTACACTAAAATGATTTTGAGCATTGGACCCCACCAACTAGGCAGTGTTATAGAATTGATGTATGTATGTACATAAATGTTATTTGAATTCTCGCTTTGAAATGATTGATCCATCGTGTAGTAGGTAAGGCAGAAATTATCATTATGATTATGTTACTCGTATAAACTTAAAAGTGAGCTTAAATGCTACATTGATAAGAAAAAAACATTAACGCCTCCAAAGTTACCTACCCATAGGTATGTCCATTGATAAACCTGCCGCCTTTGATTCAGTGATACACCCTACCTATGCCCATACATACTTGCTTCATTAGGACCATTTGAGGCTATTGTACCCCCAGCTCGATCCTCACGAGGGTCCTTCCATAAGCGATCTCAGCTTGGAAATGCCGCTAGTAAATCAGCAGAAACGGAAGCAGTTGAAAGGACATCTGTAGCACAAAGAGATCCGTGAAAGCCTCTTACATTTACTAGCAGCCAAAAAGAGGTACATACTCCATAGTACGATAACTCTACTCGCTGCCGTAGTGAAGGCACTGTTACTACCACTTTTTAAGACAAGAAAGGTAGTCTGGTGAATACTGCTCGAGTAGCTTTGGACTTATTGAGAATTTTGATAATTTGAAGCTACATGATGCTGCTAGAAGGCATCGTGTCTTGAAGGTACTGTAACAATGGTCTGCGAACTAAGCAGTTACGGGGTTGACAAGAGTTTAAACTCCTACTTCTGCATACAAATGTCAGGCAGGAACCCCACCTTACCAACTGCCCAATCAAGCCTATTGAGATTTGACGAAGCAATTTGTGACAAAAACAGTAGCAAGAAGAACACAAATTAATTTGAAGAAGACTTTTTGGACTAGTAAAGGACGTCTCCATTTTTAAAACCAAAGCAATGCGAATTAGTTACAAAGAGTCTTAGTACAAAAGAGTCTTCATATGTTGGGACACGCATCACTGTGCACAGTTTTGCGCAAAGCCCGCCTAGGAAAGATGCAATTGCCGAAGTTTTTTGGTCTCGATTGTAGTTCCAAATGAGAAGAAGAGGAACTGTGTCTATTTAAGGTCTAGCATTAGCAAACCTAATAATGTCAGCCTTGAAATCGAACGAAGAATAGCTTTTGCAAACAGGTGCTACTTTGGACTTGGTAGACAGTTGAGAAGTGAAGTCCTCCCTCGAGTAGAACATTATGCTCTACAAATCTCTCACCATGCCTGACGAAAAAACATGGACCATATCGAACAAAGATGAAAAGGTTTGGTGGGCTTTGGAGAGAACAATTCTCCGCCTTGTTCGCATAGGTGACGGGTACCACAGAAGATAGAATGACTGAATGTGTGAGCTTTATAATGTCATGGACGACATGGTTAGGCGGAAAATGTACGACGATTTCGCTGGCTAACACTTGCCGTACATATCGATGATGATTCTTCAGATCCTTCACCTAGCAAGCACGCCCACATTTAGTTCCCTTTCGTTAGTATGTGGCTCGGATATTTCTTTAAAGTCACCCAATTTTAGATATTTTGTATTTTTTTTTTAAGTGAAACTTCCTAATCGAGTTCGAAGAGGTTTGCGTTAAATATTTAACGTGACGGTGAAGGTGATATATGGCGAAAGCGGCTGAGATGAACATGTAGGTGAAGATAAAGATGAATGTGAAGATAGGCAATGAAGATGAAGATATAGATGTAGATAAGAAGAAGATGAATATTAAGATGAGAATGAGGATGAACTTGAAGATGAAGGTGAAGATGAAAATAAAGATAAGGATGAAGGTGAAGATGAAGATGAAGGTCAAGGATGATGGTGAAGATAAAGGTGACGTGATCATGAAGGTGAAGATGTAGATGGAAATAAAGATAAGGATAGAGGTGAAGATGAAGATGTAGGTCAAGAATGGTGATGAAGGTAAAGGTGCAATGAACACGAAGGTGAAGATGAAGATGAAAATAAAAGCGTACCCTTACTTACCAAAAATTATCAAAATTTTCAACTTTTCAATTCCATTTCTTAGAAAAAGTTTGGGTATCCAGGTTTGTAGCCCAATCAATTTTCGTACAATAAGGTGCAAGTTTCAAGTCTATAAAATTTACCGTTGATTTTTGGATATATGGAAGAAAATGCAAAAAACCCTTGACAAAAGAATTCTAAGAAATCAACGGTAGTTTTTAGGTACTTGGAACTTGCACTTTAATGTACTGAAATTTAATGAGCTACAAAACTGAATACTCAAAGTTTTTCTAAGGAATCGAATTGAAAAGTTGAAAGTTTTTTTGGTATTTCTCTAATTTTTTCGAGTGCTATATGGAATTAAAAAAAATTGATTCTGCTGGGTTTTGCTGAAGAATGAACTATACTTAAAAATATATATATATTAAAAAAATTGGTATGAAAAATATAAAAAAACGTCAAAATCTCAGTGAATTCATATCTTTGACGCTCTATTTGTTTTAAACTAAAATATACATATTTAACTTAGTGTGCTGAATTAACATAACACAACCATACATACATATATGTGTGTGTACGTAGTATTTGTTGATATCTCGCTAACATTTACACATGCCGTACATATTATGTATGTAAACTTTATTTGTAACACTGCCGGACCATTGCAAGCGTTTCCATTGCAAAGCGTCTGTTATATGGCAGACAAACATCTTTTGTATCCCTTTTTACAAATGGAATTTCCTTGTTTGGACTACCCATGCCATAAAAAAAAACACTTACTTGCACACATACATATGCATGCACCCAATACACATTTTTGTTAAATCTCAATTTGAGATGCGTTTAAAAATCAGTCCTTTTCTCAAATCTCAAACGTTACTTCTCAAAAGCATCACAACTAACCGTTGATAGCGTTCTCAAACTAAAAGGCAAATTTTTAATATGGATGTTTCCTTTATTTTCAAATACAGAAATATCTAACTCTCAACTTTTTCTCAAACTTGAGAGGAGCGGTACCAAATGCAATCCAGTTACTCTCATTAAAATATTTGTATAGTTTTGCCAATGAAGCATGTAAAAGAAACACACAGTTTTTATAGAAACAGTATTTTTTGTTGGATTTATTGCATTTTCAATAGAGCTTAACCCCTTTTATCATACATACACAAAAATAAGTTTTTTTTTTTAAATATAAAAATATTACAAAACAATCAAGCGCAAAATAATATAATCAACAAAGACAGACAAAATGCGAATAACAGTGACCGCGTGGTTGAGCAGCCAATTTGCGATTGATGTAGCAGACTACCGATAGACTTCAACATCTTTGCATTGCTGACACAGATTGAAGGGAACGAAATGCTAAACAAATTTTTCTCAAATGTCTCTCACACCCTTCTTAAGTTGGTAAACAGTATTTGAGACAAATTTGAGAAAATTTTTAGTTTGAAATGATAAACAATGCTAAAAATCGAATCGAGATATACGATTTTGTCAAGTGTTTGAAAACTTTTTTCCAGTGTTTGTTGGGTATATATATTTTTACATACACATATACAGACATATACATATATGTATGTATGTATTAAAGAAAACATGAAAGACACATTGAAAAAATAAAAATAACCAAAACATTCGCAAATGGTGGAAAATAATGCGCATACGCCATGTTGTACCCTGTGCCTTAATGTTAAATACAGAATAACAGAGAGAACGGAACTACATACAGTATTTTGTGTTCATACTAATAGCAGAGAACTGTAAGGGAGCAGGTGTGCTGTAGGGGTAGAAAGGATGTTGTTGTTTGTTTAGAGCACATTGAAGTGACAAAATAATTTATGTACAGCCAGTTGTATGAAGCTTGGAGCGAAGTTGTTTATTATGTGGATATACACACATATGTATGTATGTGGATTTGTGCGTGTATGTGCTCGTACATTTAGTGGAATGTTAATTGGTAGGGATGCTGTTGGGTTGTCTGAATATACGTTGGCGTAGGTTAGGGGTTTGAGTTTAGTGCCTGCTGCTGCTGTTAAAGTTAAAGTTTTCGGAGAGCACACAGATGAAGTGTTGGAATAACAAGTATTTGTTTGGTATAAATAGCATAGGCATTTGGGCGGAGCGCGCACTAATATTTGAAGACTGTGTTGTAGCTGAGCTGTGTGAAAAAGGAAGTGAAAAGCATAAAAAATTATAAAAGAATAAGAAATAATGAGATAAATTTAAGCAAATAAATTATAGTAAAATGAGAAAGTGGGTCTGAAAAATTTAAAAATACAAGATAAGAATATTAAAAGCACCGCTGCGTATATTAAATAAAGTAAAATAACGTGTTAAAGCAATTTGCTGGGAATGCTTTTAACGAGACGCAAATTTTTTTAAGAAAAAAAAAATGCTGCTAAATATACATACCGAACTTATACATATATAAAAGCCTTAAGCTTGATAAAAATTCGTACATACAAACCAAAACGGTATTCAATTTAAGTCACTACGCCTTAACGTAGGCAACCAACCAATAAGCACTAATCACAAGCGCGCAAAGGAAATAAAAAGCAAAGTAATCTCTTGCACATACAGCAGAGCTCAGCATACAAACAACTCTCAGGCGATAACCAAGCAAAATGGAGGGTTACCAGAATATGAGCGAACTGGAAAAGTCGGTAAATATAAGCATTAAAATGGCTTATTTCATTTAAGCTGCGACTTGTACACAACATTAATATTTGCTGGCCTACATTTTTAACTGCTTAAAAGCATTTTAAGTACTAATACATATTATTATGTGCTTTCATTTCTTTTATGCTGCATTTCATACTTTCCTCCTCTGACCTTCCCGAACGTCCCGTAAAACCTGCCGCCTAAATTTTTAATGTCGTCATTGTTGTTGCGACAAATGCCTACAAATTTATTTATACACACAATTGCGCTTACCTGCATCCTTTTGCCATCTACCATTTTATTCATCTTTATACCCTCATATACCACCCTCTTTCCCTTCGTGCCCGGCCCACATCCTCCCTCAAAAGGTCGCTCACGCTGGCACTCAACTCTATACGGTGGCACACAAATTGCACGAAGTCGAAACGACATTGGACCACACAAGCAGCCTAGATGATGTGGATGGCGTTTGTGTCATGGAACTGCTCGAGTCCATGGAGGAGGTCAAGGCGGAATATCATCATCTGGTGCAGAATTTGCGTGAGGTGCACCAGTTGCAGCGTGACGTCACCACATCGATACGCTTTCAGATGCGTAGCATGCAGCAGACATTTGAATCGCTTAAAAAACGCATCGAGCTGCGTGTTACAGAAAATTGAAGTAAATCGAATGATAATGGTGACTGTGTTGGCTGTGGAAGTGCGGTTGAGTAGGCAGAAATTAGGGATATTTTAAGTGTAATTTTTAGGTAAAATTTAAATGTTAATTTCGTGTTTTTAAGGAAGGAGTTATTTTAGGTGCGCTGAATACTTTTGTAGTGCTGAAGTGAGTGATAGTAGCGTGTAATGTTTCGTAAAATGTATAATTCAGTTCTTAGAGCGCGTTTAGAAATCCCTTTATTTAGGCTGACCGCTAATTTATTGACAAAGCATGCATTAGAGGTAGGTACATAGCTGAATTGAAGCTGAATAAGCTTAAATTGTTACTCAGTATTTCATAAAAGATTTTTAAGTTAAGTTTAAAGTAGCTAAATTGAAGCTTTTTGAATGATTTTCATGGAGGATTAATTAAACACTACTGAAATATTTCTGAATAAGGCAATTAAAGTAATTATAAGCTTCATTTGAGTTTTTAATTTAAGCTTATCAATATGTCATAGGCAAACTTCATATTACGAGTTGCTGAATGTCTAATTAAACGCTGAATAATACAATTCGTATAATTTTACGCTTCATTTACGCTTTTATTTTAAGGTTATTATTATTTGGTGCCCGCACTTTTAATTAATAGCTGCTGAATTAGCGCTGAATTGAAAAACTCATATGTTACGCATTGGCGTAATTTTATGCAGGCAGCCAAACTTCAAATTAAGCGCTGCTGAATTGGTGCTGAATAAAACAATTCACCGAATACCATACTTATTTTGTTTTTATTTGGAACTATTTCATGCTTCATAGTTACACGATGAACAAAGAGCTGCGGAATTGTAGCTGAATAAAATAATTTGGTAAATTTTTGAAATTTTAAGCCGCAGCATTGACATTGAATTATGTAGACTACTTTTTAACCTTAGACTGCTTTAGATTTAAACCAATTTTCTTGCTTTCCAAGCAAGCAATGTAAAACTTACCTTAATTAATATATAATGCTATTTTTATGTTATAAACAAAATTTAAGTTAAAAACAGCTGAATTTTACTCTTTAATTATGTGGATACGATGAAGAAAAAAGCTGAATTTGCGCGGAATGAGGTACACAAAGTTGATTTTTCACTGAGAATATATAGTTAATGATCAAACTAAACCAAAAAGTTATAGTATTCGTATTTTAAAACCAAGAATTCAATATGCAACAAATGCATAAATACATACATATGTACATATATTCAGAGTTGAGTTTTTAGCAACTATTTTTTCAATTGACATAGAATTCGCTGAACTAAATCCATTTGCATAAAATTTACGTAAATTTTAGCTTTATCCCAAGGGAACGTTGACCTATTTCAGCTAGATTACTTAAACTACTACTTACAACTGCTTTAAATTAATGTTCGGAATTGCATTACTTATAATTTGTTCTTAATTTAAATAAATAGTACCCAAATACAATTAAACTCTTTGATAGAATTCAAACATATTTTGTATGAATTAATTTTTTAATAAAAGCGCTGCATACTCGTTTAATGGAGCTACATATATCGGCAGAAAATTAAAATTTTTGAGCATTGAAATTGTGAATGCTCGCTGAATTAAGCTTATACGAAGAAAAATATTGATTTTGTTTTAATTTGGAGGCGCTGAATACACCCTCTAGGTATATATTTTTATTTACCTTAAGATGCTCGCTGGGTTTAATTTATTTGAACCGAAACATTGCTGCTTTAATTTTAAAATACTGAATACTCGCTGAATTGATTTCGCTCGCAGTTTTCTTGCTAATTTAATTTTTTCCCAAGTCTAATATTAATTTATTGGTATTAAAGCGCTAATTTAGTAAATTAAAAGCGCTGAATACATGTTAAGCTAAATTTCCTTTGAAAAATAAGAATTTTTAAATTAAAAAATTTTTAATTATCGCTGACTGAAATTTCTTGAGGGCAAAATACTTTTTTTTTAATTTAAAAGCGCTGAGTGCCCGTTGAGTTCAATTTCACACGTTGTGCAATTTTTTACGCAATACGATTTTTTGTAATTCAAAAGCCCTGAATTGAATCTCCATGCTGAAAAACATACTACATAATTGCTAAAAACCTACTGGTGAATGAAAAAATTGTGTAAATATTAAAATTTTGAAATCTTTTTTCCTGAACGGACACTAGGTTGGAAAATGTGATTTACATATGTATATATGTAGGTATGTATGTATATACACTTGTATACATTAACGGTATACGTTTAGTGCGAACATTATTTATTGTTGCTCGACGCATTCATTTGCCTGCAGGATCTCATTCGAACGTCACTTTGAAGGCAGGTAAAATGTTCATACAAATAATATACATACTAGGCATGCACTCAGCTACGTACATACATACATATGTATGTATGTTTAGGCAACCTTGGGCATATGCCATCATATCCTCTTAAAACTGCATACGTCATTGTTTGTTGGCCAAGTAAACTTTGGAACATAAGAATAATGAGGAGAATTTTAGGAGCGATCTACTGAACTGATATTTATGTTCATGACTTTTCTTTTCTGTACTTAAAACGCGCTAGTCATTTTGGTTGAAAATGCTTAAAAAAAATAAAATAAAAATTTAAAATAGATTTTAGGCACCTATTTACTTAAGTACATAATTGATAAGCGAAGCAATTTTAACGACCTCGTCACTAATTAATCTAGCTGCATTTATAGTGAAACTGCAAAAAAAAATATAAAAATATGTACATACGTACTATATATCAAAATATAAGTAATTTCAGACACCGAATCCGAATAATTTTTACATAAGCAATATTTTTGGCACCATTCAATTACTATTTTTTTTTTTATTATTATAAATACATAGCTTTACTTATACATTTTCTATAACCACATTATCGTAAAAATTTAAACATTCAAATTTTTTAAAGAAAATAAAGAAAAGAAAACTAAACGAAATGAACCACAACTAAAAACTAGCAGTGCACAAGTATTTCCTAAAACTCGAAAAACCCATAAGACTTTTAACTTTGCACTGTTAAAATTTAAATTTCTATAAAAAAACACTTTCCGTGTTTTCAGGTTTTCGAGTTTAAGCGATTCATCTAAGTAAAATTAATGAAAAATATACAAAAATTAAGACGTTACTAAAAGCGGGTTTCATTGTTTTTTTATAAAACAGAGTTATAGTAAATAGTGCAGAATAACATAGACATTTAACATTTTTTCGAACAAACTCTGTTTGCCTGCCTTACCTTCGTAAATTAATTTGGGAGATAATTACAAATATATATGTTTGTATGTATACATATTTCGGAACAGTAGCATTTTCTTCCAAAGACTGTTGTATTATGTAAGTTTGTTTCATTTGATTATATAATATACTTATACCGTAATATGTTTAAGAACACTCAATTAAAAGCATAAATAAATCAATAAATGATATAAAAACGAACACAGCTTGCTTCTTTCTCACACTTAGAGTTTCCCTAACTAATTTATAACAAATTTTAAGATTTTTGAATTTTTTTAAATAAAAAAAGTGCGTAGATCCCACACGCGACTAAGGTGAAACTTCCTCTTCCTGTTACCCATATTATTTGAGTATTTTTCTTCATGGAAAGAGCAATTATTTTGATCGTGTCCATTTCTTTAACTTCAAATTTACCTTTATCTTTTACTGTATCTGTATCTTTACGTTAATCTTAATCTTAACATTAACAATAATCTTAATCATAACATTAACATTAATCTTAATCTTATTCTTTACGTGCATCATAATCTTAATCTTAACCCAGTTTGCAATTGACGTCCCTATTGGTGATTTAAACGTATTAATTTTCAGATCAAATATTTAAACTGTATTTACGTAAATACCCAATGTCGGCTATTTACGAGAGACTAATTGAAAGATCTGCTAACGAGGAGGTCTTAGCGTTATGCTGTTCGCTTTTTAGTCACATTTTTTTTGTTTAATCAAAAAACCTACATATTTTTCTTGGTAAAACAATAAAAACTAAATTTGATTAAAAATATTTTGTTTAAGACAAAAAAACAAACAATTAAAAAAAATATATAAGATCGACAAAATTAAATGAAATAAAAAAAATTATTTGTCTTTTTTAAAACAATGACATCTAAAAAATAAAAGAAAATGAAATGAACCAAATAATAAAAAATTTAATTTAAATTTTTATTGAGCTGAGGCCGTTTTTTGTGAAAACTTTATCGTGGACAAAAACAACATCAGTTTATAAATGACTTCTTCATCGAGTTCACTGGGATTCGAACCAGCGACTCCAGCTTACAAAGAATAAAAAACCAAGAAAAAAAAGACGCTGTGCTAGGACTCGAACTCTCTCGATTGGAACGCCTGTGCTTTGCCCACTCGGCCAGTGCGACTATTGGAGCGACGCGAGCTAAATGATATACAAGAACTTTCTCTCAAAATAGCTTTTCACCACGAGTAATGTATGAGAAAGCTTTTTTTCTAAGACTATTGTGCTAGAATAACAAAAATCTTTCGGACCATCTTGCTATCTGTATTTCATTTGTCTTACGAAAGACTTTTTACTATTTTAGCCAGAATTTGCCCTGTTGATCTCAATCATGAAAGAAGTTTCACTTAAAAAATTTTTGAATAGAGCTTTTTTTTATCACGAATACAACAAATTTTAGTTTGCACATCTTGTGCTTGGATGTATCTGAACGCGTCGGCTATTTTCGTTGAACTTCATCAACCACAAGGTAGAAGGTTTTTTCGTTAGTTTATGACGATAGAACAATTTACACAAGCATTCGGTTGTGGTTGGAGAGAAGATAAGATTGGATTAATTTATATAAAATTAAATTAAAATTACATTGCTACATCATTGCCCATGATTCCACTGTGGCCCTATACTCCTGGTAGTGCGAGGAGTGCTGCTCTGTTGTCATTTTTTATGTAGATGTATTCGCCACACTCTCTATGTACTGCGTCAGACATAGTTTAATGGCATGCGTCTCGCCCTGAAAGACCGAGTAAGTATCAATGTATCAAATGTGGCTATACTTCCGGGGTTTTGGTCGTTCATTGCCCCAGTTTGATGTGTTAGGCAAAGAGGCTTTGGCAGGCACAGGTCCTCAAAGCAAATGCGCAGTCCTTCCTCTTGTAATAACTATTTGTTGAGGGTGGAAGCCCTGCAAACCAAAGTTCCAGAAATCTTAAGGAAATCGTTAGGAGTATCTCATTTCTGTAACGATTTTTTTACGAATTTTCAAAGAAAATTATATGAAGTGGTTGACACGAACTCGTAAAGAAATTTCTGTACGAAAAATAAAGAAAATTCTGGAAAAATTCTGAAAGATATTCTTCACATAGCACCATTATTTTCGGTGCTTCGGAGATTTTCTTCCGAAATTTCGTAAAAGAATGGAAGTGTGCGTAATTTATTTAATTTTAGAAAATTCGACAAAAAATCGAATTAAATCTTAAAGAATTCTTTAAAATTTCATTACAATGCAGAATACTCTGAAAGAATGGTTTGCAGGGAGGGTATATGTACACACACACATAAACCTCTCGTTCTCCACATTGTCCGTTGAGGTAAGTTACAACGTATAGATGAGGCAGGCCTAGAATGTCTCGACAGCTAGTGATGTCCACGCAGGCTGGTCGTTGGGGAGATGCTGTCGTACATACACCTTACCAACTTAAGTCGGATGGCTTAGTGTAACCCCCTTAGTTTAAGGTATGTCTAGATGGAAAGCTTTGGCTTTCTGAACGACTTTATCAAATCGGCGACCATGGGACCAAGGGAAGTGTATGTCTTCTTGTTGAAGGAATGGTTCTCGTTCTCGTAATTTATCCCTTTCTTTTTCTGGTAAAAAATCACTAAATTGCCGTTTTAGGGTAAAAAAAGACAGAGTAGATCGTCAATACGATGAACCATAATAGAGGGACGAAAGCTCTATGCTACGAACTTCCTTCGTAGCCAGGTATCTGGCTCGTTGCTGTCGTAGAGTGGATTTAATGGTGTTGGCTTTATCTTTTATTCTTTCTATCCAGCGCTGGATACAAGAGTCTATTAGAGAGTTTTCCGAAAGAGTGTTTTCGAAAACACTATATACGTCCAGGATGCAACGCACCCGTAAGTACGCCAAGCTTCTTGAAATCCAATCTTGGAAGTGTTAGAATATAGTTGCTGGTCCTGTAATGTGTCAACATTTCCCACAAGGATTTCTCCTTCGAGATGTCACTTCTTTCTTAAGAAGCTTCTCTTCAATTGCTTTGTGTTCTTGCTCCCAGCAATTAGCGACTCGTCTATTAACGCAGAGCTCATGTCCCCTATGTATGTATGAATTGTGGAACACGAAGCGAGTAAACCATTATAGCCAGTGCTGCATTAATTTCTTCCCATGAAAATACATACATACGCGGGAGCTTTAAGAAGTTAGTGCCGCAGCATAAATTTCAGTCTAGAAAATTATGCAATAGTCCGGAGGCTTATATGGCTGTTCAAGCCAAAACTTTAAGACAAAACACAGCAGCTTGTATCCCTTTACACATTTTAGATTCGTTCGTAAATTACTCTGGCTAAATTGCTGTCCTTTTATTTATAGCCTCTCCGCCAAGTTCGTTGAAGCTAAGGTGCTTTGATAAGATGATACTGCACGATCTCGACGGTGCACGTTGTATCTGGCGCAGTTCTACAATGTTGAATTGCTATGCAGGTTCGTCCCTTGGACCGCAGCTGTCAATATTCCGTGCCATGAAGACGGTTATCTCCTCGATCTTTCCCTGGAGTCCGTTACAGTTAAATTGTGTCGTCCTCGTGTGGCTTCGGAGACTAATCGCAATACGGGGTGTTGGTGAGGTGTGTTGTTACCTACCGGGAATTGGTTGTGTATGCTGCAGTTGGAAGTGCTGTCTTATTTTTTAGTGATGTCGCTTTACAGTATATCCTGGACCGGCACACCGAATAGATTTTGCGAGGAACTAGGAACTGCTGATTTGTCCTCGCTCGTGGGTTGCGGCGGCGTGTGGCTAGTTTTTGTTATGGTGGGTTGTGGGCGTGTTATAGTTGTTTTCCTCAGGTGAACTCCGTTGAGCCGTGGAGGCTGTTTAGGTATTTGGTAGCACCGGTTCTTAGTATGTGTTGTGGATCACTGTGGCTGCCGTGTTTATTTATATGCGTGGACAGCATGGAGCTAAAACTTAAGTAGCCAACTGCCGACTAATTCTAAGACCTGAGTATGTTCTGAGGTGGAGGTGACTCTCCATTGCACCAAACTAAAGTCGAGTTTGGGTATAATCTTTTCTGGCATACGCGTCAAGTATAGGTTTCTGGTCCAGGGTTTGACACTTTGCTACTCCTTAGCAGAGGAATGCGGAGCAGATGTTACCCCATGTACGAACAACCTCTAACAGATTTCGCCGACCAAAATAGGGTTAGATCGCCGAAACAAAAGCCCTTGGTCGGGTAGAGCCCGCGCCTTTCCGGTACGTACAACCGGCTGTCATGGGAATGGTTATACAAGTAGCTACACGCTACTCTCCGAAATCTTCGGAGCGTATTTACAATCAGTCCTTAAAAACTTCGATGAGCCTCATTGGTAGCCACCAGCTTATCTACGTTTTGCAGTAGTGCCCAGCTTATTTGATGTAAATAAGGTCGTCAACATCAACGTTATTCGTATAGAATCCCATAATCGGGGTTTTTCCCGATTCAGCGCAGTTACGAAAGTTGACTTGTATCAGTACTCCCAGCGATTCCTTGCTGTCCTGGGTCCATATGACCGGAAAGCTAAATAAAACTCTTAAAGACACTTATTAAAACTTGACAGAAATTATAATTAATTGCCATGTGCGTATGAAATTACATATATTTATATGAATTTACATATGTAGTTAAGTAAATATGTATATGTATGTACATACATATGTTTATACGGGTGTATATTGTATGAAGCATGTAAAATCGTTAATTCCAGAGACGTTTTAATGGCATGGCATGCAGGTGTGACCATAAATGGAACAGCTGTTCGTATTTTCGCGTCCTTTTTCCAAACTGAAAAGCATGAACATATTGTATGTATTTTGATGGATGTGTGTTTTCTTAGATCTTAGAGTATCAATGGAAATGTAGGATATCTTGTTTTTATGAACAAAGGAAAAGGAAAGACACGTGACTGCAGGTAAGTGAGCGACTACTTTTGAAAGAGCATTTTGTGTATACACACATATGCACAATTGTATTTAAAAGGGTATGGACGTTTTTACGGATTCTTTTAACTATGCCGTATATATATACATGAATGCATATGTACGTACATGTATCTACATCTGTATATTTCGAAGAAATTAAACATTTTGTAACTCTCAGCTACCTACTGTTATCTACATGACTTCAAATGTTTCCTGATGACATTGCGAATTCTGAGTTTAGCTGAGTTAAATATACATAACTGAAAGATAATTAGAGATCCCATTAATTTGCCCTTCAGAAATAATCATATTTAATAAAGATATACCCATCTAATAAAAAAACACTCTTCAATTTCACACGATTTCCTTACGGTTTCCATTACCAGCATATTTCCTACAGAGCTGATTAATATAATGCACAGTTTAGCTGCCAATCTTTAACAGTATACATTTTTGAGAGCATTGCAAATAAACAGCTGTTAGCAACCACACCACCTGCTTGTTGCCAAAAACGGCGTATGCCAAAGCTCCATTTAAACTTTTTAAATGTCTAGACCATCAAATTTGTAACGACAACGAAAACACTCTGAAAATGAACACCAGCTATTAGTGTTTTCGTTGACATTTCTAAGATCCTTTGCTGATAATTTTGCTAAAATAAAAAAAAAATACTTTTCTTTAATTTTCTTCTCATTAGCAACCTATTAGTATTTCGTTAACATTGCTTAGATCCTTTGTTGATGATTTTGCTACAAAAAAAAAAAAAAAAAACAAAACAAAATACTTTTCTTTCATTTTCTTCTCATTAACAAATTTTTTCTTTTATTCTGGTGATTTTGCCAATCTGCTGTGTTAAATGAAATATTTTTTGACAGCAGTAAATTTTTGATAACCGCAGATTTATGGGGAATAAAATATTTTAAGAAAACATCTACCATCGTTGATTGCAGTTCATCAGCTTAAGCTTTTATTTAACGAAAAATTGCACATATCAACAATCTTTGCGGTTGTCAAAATTTTGTATGCATTTGTCAAAAATTTCACTAGCCTCATGACCACAGTAGTGATGTGCTGAGTTAATACTTTTAAGTATCCAATACTCTCGATACTCGGTACCGAAACATTTAGGTTTCGAATAAAAGCGCACATAGGCCAAAAATATGGAAAAAAACGGTTAAGGGGAGACTCGCCTATCAAAACCCGAATGTAGGAGCCAATAGAGCTTTTAATACTGATTCAAATGAAAGATGTATATATGTCGGTTCGAGGCCATAATGCAGAGAATATTTTACTTGTTTGAAGCATTTTTGTTTCATCTGAATCGGAAGATATCATTTTTTGTAGGCAGATTCTGGGACCAGTTAGCGACAATTTTCGAATTCTTATAAAAATACAATCGCCGTTCGAAGTCTGCGTAAAACTGTAGGTCCCTCCACTTTGTGTGACAACATCAAGGCGCACGCCACAAATCGGAGGAGAAGCTCGGCTAAACCATGAACGAAAGGCACAAGATCACGCGGGAAGGAAAGAACGAAAAAAGTTATTTTCTAGCTGCCGAAATCTCGACGCCATCTTTGTTGTAAGAAGTAAACAACGAAGAGAACGGAAAAAACCGCGAAATTGTTGAACGCATGAAAAATCATTTTTATTATGCAAATTCTTCTACAAATAATGCCGTTGTGTTAAATTATTCTTTATCTTATGTGTACACACGTTCTCACAAGCGAAAATGAAGAAAATTGCAGTAAAAAGCCACCACCAAATTGTAAACAACGAAGAAATGTAAACAAACGGCTAATGTCAAAATCGTTCAACTTTTTTCCTAAATGCGATTCTAACGGGCTACTCTCCTGCCCGCGTGATCTTGTCTTTTTGGTTCATGCGGCTAAACACTAACATATTTGTAAGCGTCAAACTATTATTATTATTATTATTATTAGGTATATAAATTCACTTCTAAAAAACTAAATTTTTCCCATTTTGTTTTGCAAGAGAGGCAAAAAAGGAGAGCGCTAGAGAGAGCTATTGGTTTCTGCTAGCTTTTTGGGATTTAAAACGCATTACAGCAGAAGCAGAAACTAGTGATAATTTCTGTAAAGAAACAAAGCTAGTGCACGCAAACAGCTGTTAGCAGGTGCCACCTGATTGTTGCAAAAAAATGGCGTAAGCCAAAACTGGATACAAACTCTTTAATGCCTACGCCAATAAATTTACTGCAAACTAGTATTTTTTAGCGCTTTATATTATAAGGTATCTATAGTTTGATAGATATATTAATTTCAAAAATACTAAATTTGAAGCCATTTTCAATAACTTCCAACACACTAAATTATCCAAAAGCTGGCAACATCGCTATGATTCTATTCCGCTACCCACTGGAAGCTTAAATTTTTTATTAAAGCCAAACGCTCGTGGAAAGCAGGCGCTTTGAATAATTGTGTGTTTCAAGTTTTATTAAAATAACGCAAATAAAGTGTTAAAAACTGCTTAAAAGTAAGCAATTACTAGATCCAGTGTGCTTCTTTCGTCAGGTGAGTTTTTTTTTAGAAGATACAAACATACTAGAGTAAATACGCTAGCAGCGCAGTGACGTTAACGTTTACGACGCTGCCGGCGAAAATTTCGCTGCCTCAAATTGTGCCGCTTTGCTCCAAAGCGGTTTGCACTTCCATTTTGCAGTATCTACACAAAATATTTATGCATACACACCATTTTGATATACTTTCTAAGCATTTGCATTTTGCAGGAGCAAAACTGAGTGCCAAAAAATCGACAGAATTTACCTGCATCGTTCATACAACCGAGCACGTAGACATCTCGTTGTCGTCAGCATACATTTAAATCGGAGCAGCTGCATAACGTGTGGCGTCGACAAGAGAAAATCTCTTGTCTGCTTTGCGCCTGTTCCTCTTCTCCAGCAAGGGTCGCAGCCGTAATAGCTACAACAACAATAGTAAAAGTTTCTTAATTCCAGTTGCAAACTCGCGCAGCAAGTCAGCCAGCCAGTCGTCCAGAGTTAAGAGTTGCAGCTGTAAAAACGCCGGGTAGTTACACTTTTCCTAAACAAACATATATATCTGCCGGTTGTAGCTCGCTGCCAGCCGCCTGCTGTCTGCAAATTGAGTATCGCTGTGCATATCGTCAAGGTTTTCGTGCTTATACGTTTCAGTTCAGTCTCTGAGCGCACATCCAACAGTCATCATCGCAACGCATCACCATCACGGAACGCGTATATATCTGTAATTTATAAAATTTTTGTATGTACTATAGCCACCGCCACTCGGTATCAACATTTGTGGCAGAAGCCAACTTAAACGCCAGCTCTAATATCATCTAGAACGCATAACTGCTTGTCTGGAGTTTTCGCACCGTTGAGGAGTTATTGGAACGTTCGTCTGGCTGCTTGTTTTTCGCATCCACACATCGCTTTCAGTTCCGTTTGGTGTCTGTGTGCGTGCGTGTGTGCACTTTTGTCTGCCTATACGCGCCCGTGTACGATAGTTGTGTGCCGTGCCGTTTTTCAGTCATCGTGGTCTTTGTCGTCGTGTCCATCGCCGGTTCCCGTATCCGTATTCAGTCGTAATCGTCGGTATTGTAGCTGTGGTCGTGAATAGCTTGTCTCTGGAATTCACTGAGTCGCATTTTCGTTTGCAAATTTGCTGCTATCTTTTTGCACAGTTTTGGAAAAAGAACCAAAGTGAAAAACCGAAACTCAGCTTCGATCTCCTACACAAAGAAGAATAACTTCGTCGTCATTGTGCAGCGAGAAGAGCAGCGAAAAATTTAAAAGACACATTGCCGGTTGCGAACGAACGTCGTTGCTGTGTCTCTATATCATCATCGAATTCGTAGTGGTGGCAAGAGCGAGCCAGCCAGCCTAAACAGCCGTTGCAGACGCAGCAGGAACACGAAGTATTGCGAAATTGGTTTAGGTTTTTTTTTTTTACATTTTGAAAATTTAAAAAAGGGGAAGCTACCGAAAGTTAAACAGTCGGAGCTAGTAAAAATTTCCATTTGCTGAAACTCAGACAGTTGCTTGCATCCCGGTTTTCTTCTCGAATACCCTAGAATAAATGGTTAATATGGAAAACGCTGAAGAAGTTATGCAAATTTTGGAGCGCTTCACGCGACTCAAGCAAAAGGAGATACCTAAGGAGCTAGACGATTACTTGCAGTATGTGGCGAAAACTGGTGACACAGTCTTCAAATGGTCCAGTCTAAAGTATCTATTCCGCGAAAAGCTACTTAATGTGATCAAGCATTTCCACGATACCTCGCCTCGTGTAGATGGTAAGTACGACAATAAAAAATCATTGAGTAATAAGCATTAAATGAATTCCTGATATAATGGCGGAGTTAATATTGAATGAATAAAATGGATGGTAATGGTGGTGGTGGTTAAAGTTTATTGCCTGCCATGAAGCCGATGTCTCTTTTTACTGGATACTTACTAACCGGCTTTTTAGGCGAGTATAAATGTACATAGATACATTTTTATGTATATACATAGGTACACATGTATGTAGACATGTAGATATATACAGCTCACGTTATTTCAAATTGCACCACACTCCATTTTTTTTACAATTTATTCTTTACGCCCGTTGTTGGGGGAATTGCAGTCGAAAATTATCTACGCAAAAATGTTGTTTCACCGTTGGTGTAGGCAACTTTCTCCATAAAAAATGCCAAAGTTGGGAGAAGAAAGCAAGAAAATTTGCAACAAAAAATTCAACGCAGACAACTTGAAAGGTGTTATACGCATGTGCTTCCATATGTATGCAGGTACATAGTATATGTATGTACCTATATGTGGAACATGTAGTACATACAGAAGAAAAAAGGCTTTAAACTGATTTCTGAAAACATTTTTTAACCGACTTCAAAATAAGTAGAAGGATATAAATTCGCCGGAATATTTTTTTATTTTATTTTTTTATGTATGTTATCGCATAACTTTGGACCACGTCGAACGATTTCGATCTAACGGAAAGGTGTTGCCTCAAGGGTGGTCCCATATTAATTTGGTTTAGATCCAATCATGAAGAAATTAACGGTACTATTAAATTTTTATATAAAAAATTGAGTCGGTTTTGTTTTTTTGCTCAAAATGTACATACTTGTTATTTAAAAATTATAACAAATGATGATGTTCAGGCGTTTCCCTTAAGCACAAGGAATGGAAGAACTAGAGTTTCAAAGTTGCTACAATTCCGAGGCACTTCCAGTTTGACAGCATACCACTAATAACGGGTGATTTTTTAAGAGCTTGATAACTTTTTTTTTAAAAAAATTTGCAAAATCTCATCGGTTCTTTATTTGAAACGTTAGATTGGTCCATGACATTTACTTTTTGAAGATAATTTCATTTAAATGTTGACCGCGGCTGCGTCTTAGGTGGTCCATTCGGAAAGTCCAATTTTGGGCAACTTTTTCGAGCATTTCGGCCGGAATAGCCCGAATTTCTTCGGAAATGTTGTCTTCCAAAGCTGGAATAGTTGCTGGCTTATTTCTGTAGACTTTAGACTTGACGTAGCCCCACAAAAAATAGTCTAAAGGCGTCAAATCGCATGATCTTGGTGGCCAACTTACCGGTCCATTTCTTGAGATGAATTGTTCTCCGAAGTTTTCCCTCAAAATGGCCATAGAATCGCGAGCTGTGTGGCATGTAGCGCCATCTTGTTGAAACCACATGTCAACCAAGTTCAGTTCTTCCATTTTTGGCAACAAAAAGTTTGTTAGCATCGAACGATAGCGATCGCCATTCACCGTAACGTTGCGTCCAACAGCATCTTTGAAAAAATACGGTCCAATGATTCCACCAGCGTACAAACCACACCAAACAGTGCATTTTTCGGGATGCATGGGCAGTTCTTGAACGGCTTCTGGTTGCTCTTCACTCCAAATGCGGCAATTTTGCTTATTTACGAAGCCATTCAACCAGAAATGAGCCTCATCGCTGAACAAAATTTGTCGATAAAAAAGCGGATTTTCTGCCAACTTTTCTAGGGCCCATTCACTGAAAATACGACGTTGTGGCAGATCGTTCGGATCGTTCAGATGAAATTTCAAAGCATACTGAGCATCTTTCTCTTTGACACCATGTCTGAAATCCCACGTGATCTGTCAAATACTAATGCATGAAAATCCTAACCTCAAAAAAATCACCCGTTACTTAGCTTGGCGTATAAAGGTACACTTTAGCAAATTTATTCTTAGCAATTTGCATTTCGCTGCATTTTTAGGAAAAAACTGAAAGCTAAAAGACAAATTTTAAATTTCTTATTTTTATATATTGTATGTTATATATATTTTTGATTACGCTTAAACACAAAAAGTATCCACAAAAAATTAGGCCTTGTTTTTGTGCAAAAATTAGCAAAATTTAATTGCATATAATTAAAAAATGTATCAAGGTCGCGCGTCAGTGATGATACCTTGCGAACTAAGGGGCGCAGTAAGGAAATTTTAAATGCGATAACAATGCTAACTAAAGACATTTTTGATGTTGTCTTTAAAACTAAGCAAATAAAATTACAAAAAAATATAATATTTTCTCAAATGGCGATTTCAATGGAATTCCTATATCGCTGATGTTAAATTCTTATTTTTAATAACCGAAATCTTTATCATTAGCCTTTTCATTGCTACAAACGCCTTTGTCGCCAAGCAACTTTGTCACATTCTTTTATTTTTCCCCACTTTCCGTCCTGCCCGTCGTTACTTGTTGATTTTTTCAACCGTTGCCTGCTTCTAAAGTACCTACATTATTTGCGTATATTTATAAACATTTTTTGCTTTGTGCGAATTTTAACTAGACTAAGCTTGAAACCTGTTCGCATAAAAATAGCAACAAAAGCAAATGGAATAAAGAAAGAGTGCAAAAAGTAAATACAGCGAAATAAACATATGTATATGTATGTATGTACCTGCATGTGTGTGCACACAAACAACAAGACGCTATATAGACTGGATCGAAGATACAAATTTGTCGATATGACTGACAATTTTTTTGACCAAATTAAGTGGGAGTGTGGCTTCTTGGCACGAAGAAAGCTGATTGTGTAGCGCGTGCCAGGTGATAGTACAACTACATATTTATGTATAAGATAGCACATGTATACATATGTACCATACATACCTACTCCATGGACATAATTACTATTGAATACACAAATAAAACTCTTCTTTTTATAGTTAACACCATTGCTCACTTGTTCGGTAATTGGTTTCTTTGCAAAAAAACTGAAAAAAAAAACATACATACAAACATATATTAATACATGGAACTTCAATGAAAAAGGTTAAAGAATATGTATAAAAGCAATTTCGATTGTTATTCTTCGTGCGAAAACCTTACTCCCATTACACAAATTCCAGCCACCATGAAATTGTTTATTTTTTGTTACTTTTTGCTTTGTTTTAGCTTCAATACTAAGGTAGGCACATTCATACATTCGTATGATAAACAACGATTGTTAACACTTCTGCTAAGCACTTTTATTTTGGGCTATCAAATTTTGTAGCTATGCGCAACTCGATATTCTCTCGACTTAATTGATAAATTGTTATTTAATTTACTGCCGCTGACTAATCGCTGGAGAGGCTTTCCTGTGCGTCACACATTCGGTTTTGATATAATAGATAATACGCCTTAATGTGATAAAAAAAATTTGAACATCTTCGTAAGGTTTCCGAATTGTGCCTGGTTAAATATGCGTGTTAAGAAAATGATTGCAACTTATGGCAATATCGGATATAATTAATTGTCCCATACAATTTTTATTTTTTATTGGATTATTTAATGTTTTTTTATACACATCACAAAAATTGGGCTTTTTGTTATTTTTTTACTCTAATAATTTGAGTTTAATCATAAAAATTCAAAGAGGTGTTGTTATAATAGCTCCTACTATTTCCCCATATTTTTTTCAAATTTTAGCTAAATTTATAAAACTGTGAGCATGCCGAGCTCTTGCAATTCGGATGATATTGAAGGCTCCTCCCTCAGCTCTAGTGAAACTCACCGTGTGACATTCATAACACACGCCAGCTACTTGCGATAGCGATCCGAATATTTTCGCTAACTGGTTTGAGAATAGGTATAAAGAGCATATTCCAAGCTTCAGGGCAACCCCGAACATCTTTTTTATTTTATCCCAGCAGATAATTTCAGGAATTAAAAAAGGCCTTCCTAAGAGTCCAGAGGCCTTCCACTCTACATTCCTTTCTCCTTTCTTTTATGTATGGAGTGGCACAAATTGAAGGGCTCCTTCTTTTGCTACCCATAGAAGGCCTTCCACAAAGGCTTTTATAGGACGTACTTCAGAAGGCCTTTTGGAGGAGTTCTTTTAAAGATCTTTAATTTATAAAAATCCTACATCTTTGAAGTATTTGCTTAAGGTTTATATCAAATATGTGTTATTGCAACTTAAAATGTTTATTGAAATTCATTTGTAATGCTAAATAATATAAATTTATGCATACGCGTAAATTGTAAATGGATACGCCCTTCTAGAAGGCATGCTAGGAAGCACTTTTCAGTCCTTTTTGGGTATGCCTCTTAGAATAGCTTTACTTAAGAAGACCTACCAAAATTATCTTCTGGGATGGCACCCAATCCACATAAGTTTTTTTTTCATTTTTAGTTTCAAGGTTTTGTGCTAATTTTTGCAACATTCTTAACAAGCAATTTAAATAGATAACCGCAAAATTCATTCAAAATAGACATGAAAATCATGTTTGGTTAAATTAAATAGTAAGGTTAAATATACAATATCTCTTTTCGATTGTTGGTGCTTCCGGCAAGGCAGGAGTATTATCTATTTTGGTCATAATTTCAACCTTATAATTATTATGACATGACAAAACGTATTAGATACAATGTTTGAAAGTAGAAAGAATAAATAAACTTTTGTCGACATGTAAATTATTTTCATTATTTTTTACGCCGTTAAAGTTGTTAGAATTGAAGTATAATTTTCTCTAATTGTTTAATCGTCAGTGGCAGTGGCTTTTTTCAACTGCAGCAAACTTTGAAGCGTACCAAAATTTTCGCAACAAACTTTAGTTTATGCCAAAGCAGCAAAAATTCCATTCGTTGTGATGAGTCTTGACGCAATTTCTAGTCATATTTTAAGAAGTTAGAAATTAGTCACTATGTACATTCACACCCAAAAGTATTTGCCCAGAGAATTTTTCACAACGTATCCAACAAATGTCATTTTAATTTTTTCCGGTATTTTTTTTATAAAAAATATGGTTAATACTACAACAAAAACATTAAAATA